AAAAATATGTTTTATTAAAAAAAATCTATAAAAAAATTATTTAACAAATAAATAAATTGAGTTAGAGGGAAAAAGATTTAGAGAGAGAGAGCCAAATATAGAAAGTGTGGGACTGAATGTGTGAAAGATAGATCGATCAGTAGACAGAGATAGAGAAACAAAGATTTGCTCTACAAGTCTCATCATGCCTCTTCTGCTGCTGTTTTGCTAAAGTAAAAACTCTACAAATTAATCATTGGATAGATAAATTGAGTTAGAAGGAAAAAGAGTTAGTGAAAGAGAGAGAGAGAGAAAGCCAAATATAGAAAGTGTGTGACTGAATGTGTGAAAGATAGATCGATCAGTAGACAGAGACAGAGAAACAAAGATTTGCTCTACAAGTCTCATAATGCCTCTTCTGCTGCTGTTTTGCTAAAGTAAAAACTCTACAAATTAATCATTGGATAGATAAATTGACTTAAAAGGAAAGAGAGAGAGAGAGAGAGAGAGAGACAGAAAGAGTGTGAAAGGTAGATCAATTGTAGACAGTGACAGAGATAGACACAGAAACAAAGACTTGCTCTGCTGCCAAAAACTAACAGGGATGAGAGGACATTAGCTTCATTCGAGAAAAAATTTTTTTTAAAGATCTATGCTTCATTACGAATTGTCAACGAGTATCAAATTAGATGGAACGATGACCCATACATGCTACACATTGATATAGTTAATCGCATAAAAAGTTATTGGCTTCTCTGCTTTAGTCAATAGGAAATGGTTCGGCTAGAAATGTGTGTACTCAGTACTTTCAACTGGTGATAGCAAGCCACTGATCGGTATGGCTGGCCATCACGTTTGTAATGTCTAACAAAGTAATTATACATATTTTTAACCATGAGATAGTAACTTTAATGCCGCTATTATAGCAGAAGCAAAAAAAAAAATTTTCTTTACGAGAAAGAATGGTCTAAATATTGACATTCATATTCCACCCAGGACATGTGTGCTAGTAGCCTCCTTTAACAGTTACTTTGTCGCCTGCATATTCTTTTATAGTTTCTATTAGTTCTCTTTTTACATGAGCGTTCGTAAGTAATTCTTTTTTTTTTTTTGTTATAGCTTGCAATTCTGTTTTGATTTACTTTACCCCAAATTGCTAACTTGTCTAATCTTTATATTGTAGATGTATATTAAAAAAACATCAACAACAACAATACTATCAGACAGAAAACAGCGGTAAAATAAACAATAATAAAGCAAAAACAACAATAGGAACAAGAAATAAATGAATCAGAAAAAAAATATTTGCGCAATTCACACAAATCTGATAAGCATTTAGCATTAGAGCACAGCACAGCACACAACACAACACAACACTACACAGCACAACTACAACTACAACTACAACGAAAAGAACAACAAATTCGTTATGAAGCACCTATATAATGAAGATTTGCAACAACAATAGCAGCAGCAAAAGCACTTCCACTAATAACAACAAAAACAATAATAAACTTCTCGTGTTGTTGTTATAGTCAAGCTTAGTGAAGTGTTCACAGAAGTTTTAGCTTAGACTTAGCGATTCCAACAAGATGTTTTAGACGTTGTTTTTTTTTGGAAGAGTCGTAGTCGTTACTGTTTTTTTTATTTGTGCTTTTTTTTTGGTTTTTTGATTTTTTTATAAAATGCACAACATGCAACATTACATGCCTATAATTTGTTTTCACACAGCAGGACGTTTTCACTCTATAAGCATCAGAAAGAGGTCTTAAATGGTCACATTACTGCCATTTTCCAGCAGTGTTTAAATGGCAACACTGTTGTTGTTGTGTATTATATTTTGTGTTGTTTTTGAGGTTTTTAACTGGCGTTTTCTTTTTAAGACTTATTTTTGACTATTTATTTGTAGTGTTGTTAAACAAAGTGTGTACCGTTCATTATAGATTTAATTTAATTAGTTAGTTAAACTTAATGTCGTTATTATGTGAACTGTGTGTACTGTACTTTAGTGTTGGCAGAAGTGAAAGAAATTGCTTTAACATAATAGGCTGTGAAATTTATGTATTTCCTTATAAATTAAATGGCTACTAACAGTTAATGGAACCATATAGACTTCATGTGGTAAAAATTTATTGAGCTAATTTGAAATACGCATTGAATATTATGTAGGAAAAATATATAAATTTTAATAAAATTACACATTAGAGCCTCTGAATTTAATTCCTAAAAACAGTTTTCTAACATATTGTTATTGGGTTATATTTATGAACAATTGTTTTCAGAAAAAGGAGTATATGCTAATGTTAGTTGTGAATAGAAAAGAGAAATGGCAACATTAGTTTTAGAATGAAGAAAATGACATTTAGCATAAATGAGTCGACAAATAATTCCGGTGATGCTACAACGTAACCATGAACTTTATGCAATCTACCTAAAAGAAGATTTAATGACAAAAATAAAGTACGGTCATAAAGCCTACGGTGGGCTTGATATAAAGATCACATAAAGAGCAGCCTTTTCGTCTTTTTTATAAATTCTGGCAGAGATCAGAGAGGTGGAGCCTGTCTATTCCAGAATGGCATAGAACAGTGCACTTGGTGTCTACACTTGGTGATGTCGAACTAGAAGATATCGTACCGCAATCGGTATCAGTGGAGAAAATTGTGTTATATTGTATTAGATTGTTTGGTTATATACGATTGACAAAACAGTTAAATTTAAAGTTGCGAACAATATTTTATATAGCTTTTCATTTTCTTGAAAAGTTATTATATAATATATAGCAGATTTTAGTTAGAAGCTGCTAAACCATTAGCTTTGAATGAACAGATAATTATATTAAAATATTCTTAAAATCTAGTTGTTACAACTTCTGTACACATGTACAACAGTAATTTGGGTAGATCCGTTCAACTAAGCTGATTATAGTATTCAAAACTTGTAAGCTCTAACACATGTAACCTTTTAATAAACTCAAGATTATTGAACTGATGAGTTTATTTACCCTAATTGTAATAAACTATAAAGTTGAATGAAACATAAAAGTTAATTTAACAAATTTATTTTCCGTTATTACTTATTCATTCTAAGTTATTAGTGTACAGAGAACAAACATAACTTAACACCGTTCTTAGTCAGTTACTTCTTCTAATCTTAATTTTTCGTTGACTATAGAAAATGATATAATATAATACAATTTCTAGAAAATTAAATTATGCTAAAGAAAGAATACAATTTACCATAAAATAGTAAAAATTTATGATCGATTCATCTTATCTGCCTGTGTATTGAAGTAAAAGGGAGAGAACTATTTATATACACAGAAATATTCTTTCGAACGTACTTCTTTTCTTGACTTGATACTTAAAATTGATTATTGTAGTGAACAGTCATAATATTTTGTAGTTATTAACAACTCCTAAATTCTACGTTAATTAATATTCTGACATTTTCAATCAAGAGTGTGCTATAATATAGTAACGAAGGCATGCCGTTACTGCATTGAATATCTTCTTCTTTTCAAAGTTTGCACAGTTTGCCGATAGGTAAAAAGACAAGTATTGGATCGGTCTCCGCAACTGAAAATATAGTTATTGCCTGTACTCTTAATAAGTTTTGTCAATTTCTTCAAAATAGTAAAAGTTTTATTACTTCTATTTTATTTATTATGAAAATACACTAAAAAACTATTATTAAAGTAACTAGTAAGTTAATATATATATTTATAGTAATAGTTGTAGTTATATTTATATATGAAAAAAAAATATATTAGTACGAAACCTTCTGCGCCACTCATTATAAGTGTGATAAACGCTTAAGATCTGATTTTGATTGGCAAACCTTCTGTGTAAGTAATATTACACACTTGGATAAGAAATCATAAAATATAAGATTATTTTCGGAAGACCTATATTTGGGATTCTATACTGGGATAATCTATCAGAGACATCACAATCAAATCGTTTTTAGCGACTTTCAACCTAAAATGGTTTAAGGATTGTAAACCACAACATTGTAGGAATTCTAATTTGAATGCAGGTCAAATTATCACCATAAATTGAGAACTTACTCTAATAAAACTTGTAGATTTTGTAGGGATGAGACTGAGGCCTCTAAACACGTACTAGAAGTTTGCTCGGGACTAATGCATAAAGATCATAATAGATGAAGAAATAAAACTGCAAGGTAGGTTCAATTCTATAATTAATAGAGTAAATTGTATTTAAGGAAATATTCTATGTTCATAAAGAGGGCACAATATATTTCTAGGTCTCATTGCAAATTATCTAAATATAATAATTAATAATTGCGATTTGTATTAGGTTCATTAGTTAGTACATTTTCACAGTGAAATGTTGTATTGCTGTGGGCATTACGCTGGGTATTTCCAAAAAATCAGTTAATCAGTTGCTGCTTTTTATCGTCTTCTGTGTGACTTTTGTATTTCTAGTTGAGGTCTGAAGTTAAGTGATTATACCTGTATATTGATGGGAGCATACAATAATATAGTCGAAATATTTAGCAGGTACTATGTCTCTATGAACTTTTTTATACACTAAAAAGAAATACAATAAATAGGTGTACATTTGTGTTAGACAAAAGTTACTTTTACTACTTCATTTCCTTACATATAAAATAATCAAATTAAATAAGCTCACTAAAAATTACTTTCATAAAAATGTTTCCCAACACTAAATTATATTAAGAGTATATATTTTTTCACTTTCAGACAGATAGGCGGACAGCTTTTTTAATAGGGAGAACAAGCAGACATTAAAACAACAAAAACAGCAACAACAATATCAGTAACAACAACACTAACAACTCCGGCAACAAAACACTCATAGCGATGCTATCCACCGACATGACAGACATTTAGATTAGACGTCCTAAAACTGTCGTCATTTGATATTTTTGCGCCGTAGCCAGTGAATGACTTATTTTTGTGGTATTGCCACCTATAAACAAAGTGCGCATTACAGTGTATCATAGATACAAATGTGTGTTCATGTTTAGGTGGAAGGTTAAACAGGAAGAGTGCCATGAAGGAGTTATCTTATTTTTGAGGATATGAGACTGTATATGAATATGTGTGGTTATTTTATTTATTTTAGATATATATTTTTTTTTCATTTTTGTATTTTCCTTGTGGAGTGTGTTGCTGGCTTTGGATTTATT